ATTTGCCATCCTCGACGGTCTGCCGCGCGTCCAAGGGCGAGTGCGACGTGAGCGAAAAGTGCACGGGGACATCGAGCGCATGCCCTGCCGACGGATTTGCGGGTGCGACGACCAAGTGCACGGGCACGAGCAACGGCGGCGCGTGCGACGACCAGGACGTCTGCGACGGCAAGGGCAACTGCGTCGACAAGTACCGACCGTCTACCGTTGTGTGCCGCGCCGCCGACGGCAGCTGCGACGTCGCCGAGACGTGTACGGGCTCGTCGAGCGCGTGCCCGGCCAATGCGTACGCCTCGACCTCGGTTACATGTGCGGGCAAGTCGAACGGTGGTGCGTGCGATGCGCAAGACTACTGCGACGGCAAGGGTGGCTGTGCGGACGCGTACCAGAACTCCAAGTTTGTGTGCCGCGCGTCCAAGGGCGACTGTGACGTGGCCGAGACGTGCTCGGGGACTGCGGGCTCGTGCCCGACCGACGGCTTTGCCTCGACCGCGGTCAAGTGCACGGGTACCTGCAACGGCAACCCGTGCGACGATCAAGACTACTGCGACGGGAAGGGCAACTGCATCGACAAGTACTTTGCGTCCGACAAGGTGTGCCGCGCGTCCAAGTGTGACTGCGACGTGGCCGAAACCTGCAATGGAACGTCTGGTCAGTGCCCTATCGACGGCTTTGCGTCCACTTCGGCCAAGTGTTCTGGCAAGTCGACTGGCGGTGCGTGCGATGCGCAGGACTATTGCGACGGGAAAGGCAACTGCGTCGACAAGTATCAAGACTCCAAGTTTGTGTGCCGCCCGGCCAAGGACGCGTGCGATGTCGCCGAAACCTGCTGCGGCTCCAAGGGCGCGTGCCCGGCCGACACATTCGCGGGTGCGACCACCAAATGCACGGGTACCTGCAACGGCAACCCTTGCGACGGCCAAGACTACTGCGACGGAAAAGGCCAGTGCGTCGACAAGTACCTGCCGTCTGGCACGGTCTGCGGCACCAAGGGCAACCCGTGCATCTTGGCCGCCACGTGCACGGGTGACATGGGCTTTTGCCCGCCCGATGACTTTGCGCCGCCGTCGACGTCCTGCACGGGCACCAAGAGCGGCGGCGTCTGCGACGGCAAAGATCTCTGCGACGGCGAGGGGTCGTGCATCGACAAGTTCCTCAACGGTGTCGTGTGCCAAAAACCCGTCGGGTACAACCGCCCGACCTACTGCAACGGCAAGACGTCGAGTTGCCCGGTCGCGAGCTTTCTCAGTTTGCGCGATGCGAGTGACGACGACGTGGCGGCCACCGAGCAGTTGCTGGTCGCGATGCAGTCGTCGTCGCCGATGGTGCTGCTCGGTCTTGTCTGCGTCGTGGCCGCCGGCGTCGCGCTCGTGACCGTACGCCAGCAGCATCGCGCGGCGTCGCAGCACGACTACATGGAGCTCTCTATGTAAGATGCTCCGATTTTGCGACCACGCCCCCGCTTTTGTATGATCCAGTTAGGCTTCAGTTTGGAAGGCTAATACATATTCATTGCATGCGAACAAGTATTGTTGCGTTATGTGATGTCCAAGGAATCACAAGCGCAGCTCACCTACTTGAGGAATCGATGGCGGGCCATGGCTGCAAAACGAATGTTGAAGTCGGTTGCTGGGAGATCGCTACGTGACACGAGAACTGTGGTTAGTGTCACCAAAGATGGCCTCTAGGGCGTCCTGCGGTGCAGCGTGGTGGTCAAACCACGCAATGAAACCACTCTCCGTCTTGGGGCTGCGTTGAGACTGGTACAGCACTGCGGCCGAAGCCGCCGCCCCCGTCTCCCACGCCTGGTCGTCTCGAGGTGCATGCGCTTATCTAAAGTCGACCACGACCAATATGTGATAGTGGTGCTTTCGTCCCGTCGTATGTTCAGGCCTCCAAGGACTGATATGCTGGGTGCACCGTCAGAAGGTAACCATTGTTGGCGCGCACAGGATGACCGCAAGCTAGGCAGAGCGACGGTGTTTTTGCAGGCCTGGTAGATGTTGTGTTACTGTACATGGCAATTCCGTTGGCCGGTGGTCGATCGCCCATGACGTGGCGTCGACCCAGCATCATGCTGTTTGAATCGACAGAAAATTCATCGAACGACACACTGTGTTCTTGGACTTGATATGCGCGATTACGATTGGCTAGTCTTTTAAACTCCTCGAAATGCCAGTAGCTGTCGACTCGGGAAAGGCCATCGCGCCCACGACACGAAAGACGTACACGCCTGCAATAAGGGCTCCGGCAAAGATGGTTTGAGATACGTGGGGCTTGACGACCGAGAAAATCGGTTCAACCATTGGCGTGAGATGCGTGAACCGACGCAGCGCGGCGTTGCCACTGACTTTACACCCGCCATACGTCGTGATCCCAGACAAGACCGCTTCGAGCGGACGCACAAAGGCGGCGTCCTTCCCCGTGACCTTCTCGGCGAGCGAATTGCCGATGTGCGCGGCGCCAAGCCCAAGGCAAAGGGACGGCAGGATCGTAGCAGCTCCAATGATGGCGTACGTTGTCGGTGGCAGTGACATGATCCAGGCAATCGGCAAATGATCTGTCGAGAGGCTCCGCAGCGGGTGGTTGTCAGTAGTGCGCCGCTGGTCGGTTGTTGAGAAAAGTTAAGTACATGACCATCATTTTTCTCTACGCGATCAACCAGCAGCCAACGCTCTGCACGCGCGGCAGCAACCACGCTAAGTGTGTGTCCTCCTCGCCCTTGACGCAAGAATGCACTATGCACTCGAGTTCACCTCGTGTTTTCTTGGGGCGGGATGTGGTCGAGCTTTTCGGTTTATCCAAAAGAACTAGCCCGATTTTTTGCATGCTAGTCATCCGCCGTTTCTGGTCCCGTCGAAGTATCGAACCTTGCGTCAATGGCAAGGAGTCCATGCCGAGGCGGGTCATGCAGAGCGTTGGTTGTCGTCTGCCGTGAAAATGATGGTCATGGCTTTTTACCACAACCCGCACACTGGCCGTTGCGCCGCGGGACGACAGATCATTTGCCAATTGACTCGATCATGCCACTGCCATCACGCGCCATGATTGCTGCGGCGTCTGTCGGAGCTACGATCCTGCCGAACGTGTGCATCGGGTTTGGCGCCTGGCACATCGGCGATGCGCTCGCCGAGAAGGTCACTGGAAAGGACGCCGTACTGATGCGTCCGCTCGGCGGGTTTATTTCTGGGATCACGACGTTTGGCGTGTTTCAAATCGCTGGCGGCGCAGCTCTGCGTCACATGACGCCTCTCACGCCGGCGGGACAAGCGGTTCTCTCGACGCTCCGGCCCGAAATTTCCCGAACCATCTTTGCCGGAGCCCTCATTGCCGGCGTGCTTGCGTTTCATGTCGTTGGCGCAATACCCTATCCTCCCAACGCGACAAGACCCTGCATCCCGCGTGGTTCGAGAGAGTAGTGAATAAGTCCTGTGACTCCGTAATACATACTTCTCCAATTGGACACGTTGGCATCAGGCGATGTCGCCCAGAACGAGTCGAAATGACAAACGCAGCGTCCTTTCCTTGGACGACACCAGAGTTGTCGTCGACGGGTCCCACAATGTATTTCATCAACCACGCGACGATCACAACCACATCTCACTAAGCCTCGCTAGAGACTGCTAGCCTCATTATGCATGACGCTACATCATTGTGGGTTTCCTCAAAGTAGTGTCGACCAGAATTGTCTAGTTGTACACAACGACGAAATATCCTTTTGCAATATATACACGTATATATTCATCATCCTAGTCTATCTATCCGTCGTCTTGTTTACCGCTTGGTGTGGTTGATGTAGCGCAGCGCGAGCATGGCGAGGACGCGGAAGAGGACAATGCAGCCGAGCACGACGAGAATGTCCAAGAGCGCGTCGTCGTAGTACATCTCGTACGTAAACTCAATGTACTGCTTGACGCTGACGCTGGTCGCGTTCATCTGCTGGAGGATGCTCGGCGGCACGTTCTGCATCGTCTGGCACCCGAGCTGCGTCGGATCGTCGCCCGTGCACTTGGCAAACGTCTGCGACGTCAGAATCGCCATCGAGTACTTTGGCGGCACGATCGTGTACAGCCAGCGGTACCCGCTCGGGATCTGCGACGCGGTCGGCGTAAAGCCCATGAAGAGGAAGAAGATCGAGTTGAAGAGGATGCCGACGAGCGCCGCGACCTCGACCGACGGCATCGCGTACGCCATCAACTGGCCCATGTAGACGTTCATCAAGACCATGAGCGAGAGGTTGAAGCCGTAGTAGACGCACGCGCCGACCGACTCGTTCAAGCCCACGAACGGGTAGTAGATGATC